CATACCAGGCAACATGATAACCAAGGGCCCAACATGGACTCACTGTCAAGAAGGGAAACTGAAATAGTCAAGAGGCCACACACAGTTTAGGAGAACTTGTTAAATGTGTAAACATCAATTTGAGACAGTGAGCAATGTGAAGCATCTTGTGAGTTTCATGAGACATGACCCCCTGGAAAGTTGAATTAAACTCCCTAGTAAAAAAAAAAAAAAAAAAATTACTTTATTGTATTCAAAGTATATTCATATTTCAAATAGTATACTGAAAATGTACTTACACTAATTACACTTTTTGTAAATATATAAAAAGTATGCTAACATCACACTTTAATGCTAACACTTTTAACACACTTTAAAATAATTCCTCATGATACACTTTATAGAAATATATTATTAAAAAAGTATACTTTAAGTGAAATGTACGTGTAATTTCTAAAGTGTACTTACTTGAAATATGTTTTTACACATATTTTTGATATATTTTAAAATTGTTAAAATTGTCACTGAAAGCATATTTTAAAAGTAAACATTTTAATATCGACACTGTAATATTAAGTTTGAGTGCATTTTAAATAATATTTGAATCCAATTATGAAGTGAATTTATTTATGCTTGTACTTTAGGTAATACTTGTGGAAAATGTTCAATAATATAACTATGAAAATTAACTTAAATTCATTTATGCAATTTTGTGCTGTGTGTAAAGTATGTAGAAGGAAAAAAAAGTGGGAAGGTGACTCTGGCAGAAGATCAATAGAGACAAGAAGCTAAACCGGTAGAAAAAGAGTAGGGCAGGAAGTCATGATAAACAGGCAGATGGTCTTCAGCTTTGCATCTACCTTCCAATACCTGCAGATCAGCACTCTGCCAGCAGGTTAGAAATAGTATTATTTTACCTCATAAAAACAGTGCTGAGCTTCTTGTTTGGACAACTCTCTCCAGCCAGATCCCTCAGACTAAACAGCTTTCAGTAGGTCTCACTTTCAGTGGGGACTGGGGTCTTGCTGGAATTTACCCAAGGAAATAGATAACATGCCTCAAGCCTTTGGCCTATTTTATACTGCAATCTTTTGCCTTAACTAAAGCCCCATTTTAAAAGACTTGGGATGTTATAACAACACAGCGTATAATGCTTGCATCAACAGAGCCTGGACTCCAATGAAAATGTCATAGCACAACATTCTGAGGATAGAGATGGTAATAAGTGCTCATAAGAGCTCACTTTCTACACATTCTCTGTAAACCTTGATAAAGTTAACTATTCAAACTATGGTTATTACACAATACAAAGACCTGCAGGCTTTTCAGTTCAGGTTTCTCTATTTTGTGCTGCTAGTTGATCTTTACTGACATTTTCTACTTTGGGACAGCTTAAACTGTTACTAATTAGAGCCTTGTACACCAGATTGACACGTCACACAATTTTAGAAACGAAAGGTTCTTTATTTCTTACCGTCCTCCTATTACACGATTTAGATTATCCCTGTTTTTTTGTTTGTTTTTGCTGATGGTTTCCTCATAATCAGTCCAACTCCATCATAAATAAAGTGTCTGCACCTTTAAAATTTGCTTGCAACATCTTTTTGACCCCCAGCAAATAAGTTATGTGCAACTTGGAGGTGTGGGTTCTTTACCCCTCCTGAGAGCTCTTTTTCTAGGAAGAATAGCACATGCTTCTAATGTCTATATTAAAAGTGGGTTTTTTTTAACTTCTTACTGGGATCCTTTTTCTTGTTGCAAGAAGGGTAAAAGTAAGCCCATGCCTGTAGCTGTCATTTTTAAAAAGGTTTCAGTAAATAAGGCAGATGTGACCTACGTATGAGGCAGAAGTGGTCAGCACTGCCTGATAATCTATAATAACTGTATTGTTTAAAGGTCTTATCCTTCAGGAAACAACTGGATGAACTTGTGGTGGGACTTGTTTCTACTTCCCGAAGCTCTCGTTTGTGAGTTTTATTTTTTAACAAAAAATATAAAATGATTGTGTGTGACTGTCGAACTATATTTCATGATGAAATATGATTAATTAGGTATTAGTATTAATATTTTAGGGCAATCCTTCCCCTGACCTTTACAGCGAGAGAAATCTGAGCTTATAACTTTGAATTGTCCTCCATATTTTATCTGGAGGGAGATGTCAATTAACCCATATACATGCCATTGTGCATGGAAGGGGTTTGGCTCAATGAAGAGACAAATAAGGACAAAAGTATTTCATTGCTCAACTATGTTCTATTTCTCAAAGAAAGTGCAAAAATTTAACAAGTCTTTGTACAAAAGTTTCTAGAAGTTCTTTACAATTTTCTAGTAGAATTTCCTTTGGAGATGTCATTAAAGCATTTTCAAGGACTTGCAACTGACTAAGAGTTGACTAAAAGTTGCCTCAAAAGGGCAAAGTTGCCCTAAAAAATTAATATTATTATTTGGATTTTGATTAGATATAACAGAGGCCATTTTTGTAACAACACTAATAATACTAATGATAATTGTAATATTCTGCATTTAAGATGCTAGCACAGAAATAAGACCTGCAGTAAACACTACATGTAAAGTCAGTCTCTAGCTTGAATACCATGCTAACTGGTAAAATAGAGACAGGGATGAAATGGGGGTCATTTTATACAAAATGAAATCTAGGCAAAAGTATTCATCCTTGTTTTACATCAACTTACGTTTCTATTAAAAGAAATATGATGTATATAATATTTACACATTTTGCACGTGTGTGTATATAAGAGGAATGGCTTTAAGGTCCTTAAGAAGAGAAAGGGGGGCAAAAAGACACACAAATGTATTGGTTAAGATCTCTGATTTGGTTACTGTAGAGGTCAGGAGAGGAACTATGGTAAAATAATAACAGCTTACAGACTTTAGCTTTAAATACTTAAATGAATTTGATAAAGCCCCTTTTATTCTTTACACTAAAAAATAATGCAAATTTTATTCAGTCACAAAAAGCACCAACAATTGGTGCCTAAGGGCATCATTATGCTTTTGTAACTCCTGTCATCATATTTATAAAACGTGGCATGGAAAAGAAAGGGCTGCTGGTAACAGCACACAAAGGAGTTGTCAGTTGCTAGTAAAGAATAAAGTTAGATTAAGTTAGATGACCACCAAGCTAACCGAGTGAGCAACAGTTCTACTCTGTTACCATCAAAGATTTCTATCATCATCTCATTTTTTTCTTTAATCTTGTCTTTTTGTGTTTTATGTCTAAAAATTTATATTAAAGCTAACACCAAGGTCATAATCTTTATTTTTTGTCCTCACTGTCCGATATTAAATCAGACTGCTAAGTGGAGCAGTGGATGGCAGTACTGTCTTTTAGCAAGAAGGTTCTGGGTTCGATTCCCGGTCCAGGGGACTTTCTGCATGGAGTTTGCATGTTCTCCTTGAGCATGTGTTGGTTCTCTCCAGGTACTCCAACATGACTGTTAGGTTAATTGGCTTCTCTAAATACTCATTAGGTGTGTGTGCATGAATGGTTGTTGTTTGTCTCTGTGTTGCCCTGCAATGGACTGGTAACCTGTCCAGGGTGTGCCCTGCCTCTTGCCCAAAGACAGCTGAAGATAGGCACCAGCACCCCACATGACCCCACTTGGGATAAGTATGATGGAAAATGGATGAATTAGTGCTAACTTTCATATGTTTTTGACAAAGAATGCTACAGTGTGCTTTAACCTTTTGGGAAATCTGGGGACACGTCTTGGGCTAAGGCCTCTTCCTTCACACCTGTCCTTTAGGTGTGCTGAGATTTTGTACTTACAATTGCTTGAGGACATAAATATTAAATATTAATTAGATAATGATTTTTGACATTTGTAACATATACAAGTTTAAATACATTTATTCACATTGGATTTTATAAGACCAGGGGGTATGTCCAAAAAAATGTAAAATCAAGGTCTTTCATTTGTTAAATTTAGAGACAGATTTATGTTATTTTTGGAGTCATATTTTTTTTTTCCTTCTCCAGTCAGTACCAGACTTCTTTCACTATGAATAGTGAAGTCCCAGTTTTAGGCATCTTAACAGTGTCTATTGCTTTTTTCTGGGCATGAAACATATAGCACATAAAAAATATTTTGTTATTTAGACACAAAACTTGTCTCCTTCCTGAATGGCATGTTGCAATGGCATTTATACAGTTCTTGCACATAACTGAACAAATTAACGCAGCACCTTATCTGGAAATGATGCCAAGAGTAAATCAAACATTTTAAAGCCATTATTTTTCTTTCTGCTATCTTTGCAAATTTGGTACTGAAATCACATCAACCTTACTGGTGTTTACCCATATCGTGTAAAGGCAGAATAACAGTACGGTATGTTGACTAATGAACTTGACAATGGAATTATGAAAATTGTTTTTAAAATATCTTGCTCATAATTCTGGTAATGGAAAGATAACCATTTTTTTGGTAGCCCTAACTTACCTAAAAAGTAACTGTACCACTATGAGGAAATAAACTGCCATTTAAACTCAAAAGTGGATGTTTGTGTATCTTTTCAGAGAACCCAGTAGTATCTATGTCATCCTGCTTTTTGATTTGAAGACCACCTTTTGGGTTTCATCATTTTCATTTTTCCCATTAAAAGACCATTTATCCTCACTTGCTCTTTAAAAAAAAACTCTCCTTCCTCTCAGAGGGGAAAGGTTGATCTGGAGTAGGCAGGTTGGTTACTCCTTTTATTATGAAGCAACTCCCTAAAGCCTGCCTTTCCTTGTGGATCTCTGCTGCATTTTGGACATTTTCTGATTCTTTCCACCCTTTCCTATTCCCTCTTTTTTTTATGCATTTACTTTTTCCTCTGGCTTTTTCTATTTCTTTTTCCAGCTAAAGTTATATATTTTTTATTTCATGTTTCCTTTCCTCTATTTCCCTCTCTCTCTCACACACACACACACACACATGTGCAAACACACACACACTAACATGCTCTTGGCCATTCCTCCCTGCTAGTGGAGAGGGGCGATGCAGGCGCAGCAGCAGCTGCTCTGTCATATCCATAACTACAGCACACCGAAAAGGCAGGAGGAAAGAAGAGGAAGGAGGAGGAGATAAGGAGGTGGAAAGGGAGGAGAAGGAGAGGAGGAAAGAAGGCAGAGAAAGACACGACTCTGTCAAAAGGACACCAGGGGACAGAAGTGCAAGAGGAGGACAAGCAGAAAGGGAAGACGGCCGAGGGAGGCGGGTTGCTGCAGACATGTCAGACGCACCTTTGCAAAGGAACGGCAGTGCCAAAGCCCCGTGAGTAGATGTTCTTCTTTATCTTTACATCTCTGTCTGCTCCCTGCCATCACTCCTCTCCCTGCCTGCATCCCTCCATCTGACAGGCTAGGTTGTCATGGGAACGGGAGCTCCGTCATGGTGAGGCTGCAGCTCAGTCATGACTGGAGCAGGGACACGCGGTACACCCTGTACACTCCTCCCTCTCCTCACTGCATCCCTTGATTTTCTTCATCCCCCCCCAACACGCACACCTCTCTGCTCACAGACCATATCAGGCCACACTCTGGATTTATTATTTCTTCATGCATTACTCGCTCTCTCCATAGTAGGACCTGCTTATTCATTCATTTGGTTCTTTTCTAGTGCATATGTTTGCATACAGCTATACTGCAGGTGCTGGACATGGTATGTTTTAGCATGGCCAATGGGGAGACTGCAGACTGGGTCCTTCGTTTCTGTGTCAGCACAGTCCGCCATGCTGCATTTCACCTTTTCCCTCCTTTCCAATCGTGTGAGATTTGACAATATAATATAATGTAATATACTATATTATTGTATATTATAACATATGTATATATATATTCCTTTAGGTCCAAAAAAAAGCAACTTATCAAACTTTTATTACAGCATTTTACACCTTCCAGGAATTTTAAAGTACAAACAAATTACTCATAATTTAAGTATCTCTAAAACAAAAAAAGAACAGCTTTCTGTTAAAACAATTTAAATATCTATCTTTTTGCATAATAGGGGACTTCATTTGAAAAAAGTTCATATAACGGACAAAGTGTGAATTTGTTTTTAAATTTAAACAGTAAGTTCCTCTGGTCAAGCTACAATTTATGAGCTTTAAATGAAAAAGCTGTCTGAAACATTGTTTAGGAAAAAAAAAAGAAAGAGCAGGGGTTTTATTAAAAAAAGGAATGCCCATCTTCTCCCACTACTCTATAGGCTAAACGTGGGGAACACCCTTGACAGGTTTCTGGTCTGTTTCAGGACAACACAGAGAGACACAACCACACACACACCTTAAGACAATTTAGAGATGCATATTAACCTAACAAGGATGCAAATGCACTGGGAAATATACAAACTCAATGCAGTAAGTTCCAAGACCAGAAATCAAACCCAAAACCTTCTTGCTGCACCAGCATGCAGCCCCCACAAAAAATCTATTATGGGTAATTCATAAAACATACAAAAGCGGCCTCCACTCTCCTCCAATAATTCATCTTCCCCAAATATTTGTTCTTTTTCTTAAATGTAATTAAATTCATAAACCCCCTGGAGTGAAACATAAGATGCCTTGCTAAGGGCAACTGTGGCTCAGTATGGAGTTGTCTCCCAATGAGAAAGTTGCAGGTTTAATTCCAGCTCTCTCCCCTTTTAATCTTCCTCAGGGGAATGCATTTCAGCCCTTTTATTCATCCATCTTTAATTTGGTTTATGAACATAAATGTGTGACTTTTTCAATATGGTTCTAGTGTAAAGTGTCTTCTAGTGTTTTCAATATGAGAAAATAATCTATTTCTGAAAAAAAAAAATGTAGATGAACTGAGAAATAAAACAACATTTAATGCAACCAAAGATTTGTACCAAAATATAATAAGACTAAAATAATGGGAAGGATTTAGATTCTAAGATGTTGACTTTGAGTGGGTCCTTCTTACACATAATAATTCAGTCTGAATCATTCCATTGTAGCAGTATGCTCAAAATGTTGTGGTGAACTTTCAACCCAGTCTCAAATGTTTCCCAGTGGATGGTGAGTTCACGGGGATGTGCAGTAATAACTTTGTGCCACACATACCTGTAGTCTATTTGCTAATCAGGAGATTGCTTAAGGCTGTTGGTGATAGTGGACTGTATTTAGGGGTATCAGATTAAAGAAGAAAAACACAAATGCATGGTAAAAATATGGATGTGTTTTAGCCTTTGTATAATTTTAATAGTTTTCTGTCACAAATCTCTTCAAAATAATTACATTCTATGGTTGTAAAGTGGCAAAGCGCAGAACTTTAATGCATATTAATATTTCTGCAAATTGCTGAATGAGTCAGTATATACAGGCAGAACAAGAGTTTGAGTTAATTCTTTGGAAGATAAATGCAAACCGTCAAGGATGGGAAAACAGTAACTATGTTCTGTCAAAGTTTAATCATTAATACAAAGAGCAGGTCATTGCTACTATGTTTGCACAACAAGAGACATACCCAGAGAAAAAAGGGAAAGCTTTAGAAATCAATCAGCAGCTGACCTCATCTGCTGTTCATCCTCCAGATAAAGAAAAAAAAACACTCCTCCAGTTGTCAATATGTTTCCCACTCATACTGGCTGAGCCGCCCGCCACCAGCTTGTGAATTGGCTTGAAGTAAAGTAATGATAGCAGTACTGTATTAAGACAAAGAGAGTGGGAGTTTAACATTCAAAGCTGAGAGACTGTACTGTTCTGTATTCTGATGCAAACGTTGAGCTGTTTTTAACAGCTGCCCTGGAGTAACCAGATTAATACCAAACTGTATGTGAACAAATGCAAATGTACAAAGAAGTCAAGCTGAGCTGCACAGAAGCTTAACCTTCCTTAAAAGAGACAATTGAACTCCTGAACAAACTCTTCTTTGATTAGATATGAGTTTAACGTTTGAAATGACAACATAGAAAGGTCGTATGGTGGGGAAGATGAAATCAGACATGATGTATCAGTAAAAATATTTTTTAAGCCTTTAAATGTTTTGTTTTAAATTTTGTTTCTAAAATATTCATTAATTATTATTGCTAGGATAATGAGGTATTTCCTCTTTTTTTTTTTTTTTTACAATAAAAACATGAAGAAGACACAAAGATCTATGTGAATAGGAAAAAAGAGATTTCTGAAATTGTGTTGCTGAAGATAAAAAAATGCACCTTAAGTATACTTGATTATATTGTAGATATAGCTGACATATATATAGAGATGTTATGTTAGGACTTAAATTTATATGGAAATTCTAGATGTTTCTTTGTCTTTTTTCCAGATATTCTAAGTGAGGATTAAGCATTTTAGAACCATCAAATATTCTGTAGAGAGCTTATAAAGAAAATAATAACTTCCCTGCCGAAGATAATTCACTGACCTTAAAGATTTCAGTCTAAAGAAACAGATTAGTTCTGACAGCCGGTCATTCTAAGGGTTAGCTATAGTAAAATCTGTTAAAAAAAAAAACATTTCTGCCTTTTTAAAACAGCTATGATGGAAAAAATTACACTTTTTTTTAACCTTTATAATCCCTTTATAATTTTGCATTTGAAGGGTAGCACTCATACTCATACTCAAAAAGAAATGTTAGAACTGTAAATCTACAGTCATTTTTACTATTTTTCAAGGCTGCACTTTTAAAAAAATGAAATTGACCAGTGAGCTGTTCCAAACGTAAATTCTTTTTGTTTTACACTTGTATAAACAAAATGACAAATAAAATCTGTCTATCTATATCTTATAGAAAACATCTACTTTTGCATTGCAAAAGTAATGCAGCCTCCAATTCAAAGATAGAAATGCAACAATCAGAATGTTCTTTATTGTGTGTTACAGTTTCCTTTTAAATAGTTTCTCACATCTCTTTTTCATCTGACTTAATTTTAAAAGCATCTCACTACCACTAGTCGTTCTAACTTAGTCACCAGACCAGATCTTCTTTAGGTGAATATCTTCCACACTACTTAAAACTTGCTTTTAGAACCTGATCTCACGATTAACAAGGTAATATATGCAGATTAGATTTGTTTGTTGTTTAGAGACCAAGCCGATGATATTCTACCTTGTTTTTGTATTTATTTTGATTTTTTTATATCATTTAAGTTAGAGTTGTAGTGATTTTTTTTCACTTCTATCATTTATATGATAAGTGAATCAGATGATGACTTAAATTCACCTGATAAACTGCTGCTACTCCATGGAGGGACATAGCAAGCCAAGAAGAAAAGTAGTAAATATATTAATTCTTAGTCATATTGTTTAGGGGAGTGGTGGCCTAGCGGTTAGGGCATTGTGCTTGGGCTCCAGAGGTACTGAGTTTAAGCCCCACTCCCACAGACTGCCATTCTGGGTCCCTGAGCAAAGACCTTTAACCCACACTGCTCTCTGGGCATCGCACAATGGCAGCCCACTGCTCCCCAAAGGGATGGATTAAATGCAGAGAGTTAATTTATTTGCTTTGTACTTGTGACAATGTAATGACGATAAAGTTGAATTCTATTCTACTCTATTCTGAAAGCTAAACACACTTTTGACATCATCAGACAAACTCAGCATTAAAATGTTTTTTTCACTCTATGATACACTCTGCAAATATCATTTCATATAAATTTTATTTCATTTTCTATCCTGATTTGTTTTGTCATTTGGATATTCACAGTTTCAAGGAATGTCATCGTAACCTAGTGCTATGATGATTTTTATTAAGGCAAATGGTTTATGCTAACTTTATATAGTTTCTGACTTGGCTTTAAATGTTTTTTAAAGCTTTTTTAAAATTCTGTGTGATAGCAGAAACCGAGCAGTTACTGTCCTTGAGTGACACTTACTGAGATGTTTTCCTGCTTACTGTCAATCAGATGTTGGTAAGTCGTTTCCGAGACAGATCAGAGCGATTTTCTTGAACACTCTTGAAGAACCACACCCATGAGGCAGGCAGAAAAAAGTGCATTGAGGCATGAAACCAACATGCTTTACTGTTGCATCAATAGTTAATGTTCTAATTGTGAACAAGAGGCTCAGGCAGGGCCCATCCTATTTTTCCTTAACACCGTCTCTTGGTTTCTGAGATGCTCTTGTTAAATCACACAAATGCAGAGCACTCCTTAATTCATCCAGCAGGAAGAAGAGATAGAATGTGTGGTAAAGTGGAGTGCAGAGACCACAGAAGACCCATTCACTAGTGCTATTTATTAAACAAGCATGTATTAAAGGGGTTCTAATAGGATAAATAATGCATATGAAATCTCACAGCATTGCCGTTGAAGATAAGTGGAGGAAAATATAAAATAAAATCTGAAAATAACAGCAGTTAACATTTTAAACAACACCACATGTGCAGACTGAAACACCCACATGTTTAAAGGAAAGGAACCAACCAATCGTAAAAATCCTAAAATTGAACATGCAAGGTCATGAAAACATATGCATGTAAAAAAAACCCATTGGGAAAGATGCCAGTTACAGCAGAGAGAGAATTATGCATTCAGAGACTGTTTGATCCAACAGAAAGTGTTGAGGTGGTGACAAGTCGAATGTCTAGAGACAACTGATCCTTATCTGTATGCAACTCATCTACTTTACAGAATGTTTTCTAGAAATGTGAATATTTTTTTTTACATGCAAGTTCCCTGAAATCCTTTTACAGAATATTTTTAAGAATATGTACCGTTAAAAGTAGCACTAGTACTACTAGTGGGACTTGTATCACAGTATGTGTAGGTTAACTTTTTATTCATTTTCCAGGTAGAATTAAGCCACAGTTTTGGGTTAAATGTCCGTTTGATTCAACATCAAAAAGGAGCACCAGATGAACCATTTAAAAACTAGGGGGCCTGTTTTTGCTGATTCCTTTATGCCTTTGTAACCAAGCATTTTTATCTACATCAACAATAGTTCAGTTGCTTTTACGCCAAATCTTTAAACATTTTTTATCCGTGCTAGAGTCCAGTTTCTGGAGGAGATCATGCCATTGTGAACCCTGTGCAGGACCCTGGTTATGGCAGCAGGTTTCTGCACAGTTTCTCCGTACCACAGAGCATTTTGTTTTTAGTGTGAATGTCTGCTTGTTCAGTGTAAAACAACCATGAGAATAAAGTGGCGCATTGATTAGAACAAGAAGAAGAAGATGAAGAAAAATCGTTAAAGCTGCTTCAAAAGATGAACCAGCTTTAAAAAATTATCTTGTAGTTACATGGAGTGGAGAATAATGCAGGCGCACAACCTGTTTTAAAAACCAAACTAGTTATAGGAACCCCATGGAACAAAATTTCCTCTCAAAGCTTTGTTTTTTTCTTAAGTAGTCTACTAATGAGTTAATGCTGCTCCCGGAACAGACTGCTGCAACAGCATGACGTTCAGCTTAAAAATCTGTCTTTGAAAGCAAACTGTAAACTGTGTTGACAGAAGGTGAGTCTTTCCTCACTGTAACTTCTCCCTGTACAGTAGCAGCAGTGAATGGGCCCATAGTGATGCAGGTAAATGTGACAGGGCATCTCAAAGACTATTTCCTGTTTTATTCTGAAAAATAGTCTCAAACATAATGTAAAGAAGTCAAGCCTAAAGTGTAAGTCTTCGTGTTCTGGGTCCTAGTCAAAGCAACAGATGTAAAAGATGAAAATTTCGTTTGAAAAAAAGGAAGAACTTTTTTTTTTTTTTTTTTTACAAGAAAAATAAATAAACAAACAAAAACCTTTTGTTGTGAAAGACAGCCAGACATGGTACACTCTCCATCACTAATGTTTAAAGTATGAATGAGATCAAGGTCTGGCAGTCTGGAATATGTCTGCTGGAGTTGGTTTATTCTCCTCCTTTTCTCTTTTTTTTCATAAAGGTTAAACGTGCTCTTTAACCTTTAACTACTACATTACTAACACTCACCAAACCCAACCTCCCCTTATCTTCACAACAGACTTTCATAGTTTTATAACTGATACATCTGAGCTTTATTTTCATTTCCATTGAGAATATACCGGCTTTTCAGCTTGAAATGTGAACAGATTTAGGTCTGCTTGACAGGAGGAGTTATTTTTACCACATTAACACAAACACATGCGGTACAGTGCAGTGTGCATATACATACACTGCGATGCAATGAACACATTTCCAGCAGGACAAATAAGAAAGAACAAATGCATTAAATAAAAACAGATTTCTTTGAAAAATGAAACAGGAATAAAACACACAAATACTAAATTTTTTGTCTGATTTTCATTGCCCGCCTTTTTTCATTCCCCAATGCCTCCTACTAGCACTTTGCATATTGTTAGTCCACACTGTTTGTGTGAGTTAATGTGTGTGTTTTCCTGCCTGTAGTTCCACATCTGGAGGCCATTAGCTCTGGGCTGGGATTGGCTGGGCGGGCAGAGGGGGAGAAGGGGGTGTGATGGGCTGGCTGCGCAGTGAGGTCATCGCCTCGTTTTGGCGACGCTCAGGAACAATGATGCTGTTGTCTCAATTGATGACGAGTCTGCGTAACTAACCCCAAAATGAAGGGCTAAAGGAGAGAGGAGAGGTTGCCAGGGGGTTTCTAGATACAGTGGTTTGGCAGACGTTAGGGAGAACTTAATAATGCATGTTTAAAAAATGTTTAATTGCAAGAAGAACTAGATTCTCTACCTAAGAAAAAAGTACCTAGTAAGTGCAAACATTCAAAATCCATGCAGAAAGAAGACGATGCCAGGATTCGAACCAACGACTTCTCTCTGCAACGCCTCATTTTCTATTCAATCTGCAATTATGAACATAGAAGTCTGGACCTAAATACAGCTAATTGTTTTCCATCATCTGCTCTCATTTGTTTTATTCTCTGGTCTCTTGGAGGAAGTGGTTTGCTGCTAAATTTTGATGTGTTCTTCTCCAATGTGTGTGCGTCTTACATGCTTTTGAATTCCCAAAAGGGTAAGCAATGTCTACAGTTGCTGTTTCTCCTTATAAGGATGGCTGTGTGTGGAAAGAAACATGGCGGTAAAGATGAGACAAGAGGCATGGAAACTTAGATACTGATTAGAAGAACTTTAGGAACATGTGAAGACAGGTGCAGAAGAGAAAAAGCCAAGAATGAAACCTGAAATGTCCAATAAGATAAAGAGAGGGTTTGAAGTATGGCAATTAAAAAAGACTGGTAAATGTGAATTTTAAGTCAACCAGTAGAGTTCAAATTTAGAAATGCAGAAAAATTGAATGCAAGCTGATGTGAACAGTTTTCACAAACTTTGTTTCCATCTACAGCTTTTTGCGTGTTGTTTGTTTGCATGCTTCCAATGATTTTTAAAGAAGCATTGTTTGATGTTATAATTCCCAGGGAAGTTCATATTAATATCCAATAGGATAATTAGTCACCCCTGAAACCAGCATCAGGTATTAATACTGTTTTTTACTTTTGTTGTTGGTCAGATTATTTGCTATTCCTATCAATTGGCATCTTAACAATTTATTTGTGTTGAAATTGCTGGGGTTTTTTTAGAGTATAATCTTGTAAAGATATATTTATACATTTATTTATAAAATGTTTGCACCTTTTCAATTTTACATTGATCTTTCTGCTGATAAAGACTTTTTGAAAACATGCTTACACTGAAAACATATCTTGATGTTTATTATCAAAGGTAGTCAGGATATTGTTTTACCGACATCAAAAGAGATTGAGTTTATGATAACAGAAAAAGCTCCAGTATTATACACAATGTAGCAGAAAAAAAAAATCACAAATCAAGTGAGCTTTTCAATAAGAGCAGAGGCAAAAATAGTCCTTTGTCATAGCTGACATATATTTGTCCTATAGGAGTTCTTCTCCCACCTCTTCATCTTTTATTCAGCACCTTCCTTCACCTTTCTAATATAAAATATCACTTGCCTCCTTGAGTTTTCCTTACTTCTGCAATTTTTTCATTCTCTCCCCATTCCCGTTTTTTTTTTCAGCCTGCTCTTTTTTTTTCTGCCATGTCCCATCCCTCTCTCAGCTGCTCCTCCCAGCTGTTTAATCACACATAGTTCATGCCTAAAGAGGGGAGGCAGGGAAGGGGTGGAGGAAAGACAGGGGACAAATGGGAGGAGAGACGCACAGAGTCAAAGAAACAGTGGGTGACAGACAGAAGGACATAGAGACAGAGAATGCAGGCAGTGGGCTGAGTGTGAGACACATGGCTACTGAGTGAGAGGTCTTTCATTCTGCTTGGATTATCGCTGAGAAAGGACCTCATCTGGATACTCCTCCTCCTCCTCCTGCTTTCCCTCTACCTCTCCTTCCTCACTCCTCTGCTTCCCTCCCTTTTGTGTCTCCGATCTTCTAGTTGAGAGGCTCTTTGAGAATCTCACCTCTTGTTCCTATTTTACCTCCCTTTCCCCTGCTTCCCCCTCAGGATGTCGTGTGAGGAGGCTCAGCTCCACAAAGAGAGGCTGCAGGCCCTGGCGGTAAGTGTTTCAACTTTAAATTTTCTCTCAGATCTGCTCATTTATGGTGTGTATCTGTGAAAACCAAATAGACTTGAAGGCTTTCAGACACTCCATCTAAGCATCCAAGTTGTCACAGTATCTCAAAGTTCAGGAAGCTCTTTCAGTCTCTTTTGCTTCACTATTTCAATATATTAAGGTATCTGTTATGCTCTTTCAAAATAACAGGAATAAAACAACTTTATTTTTAATGCATGAGTGCAAACACTGACAAAAAAGTGAATGGCACAAACCAAGCAAGCATCTAAAATTGAACTTATTATGAATGTGTAAAACTGGCTGTTGATTGAGTCTGAGACCATTTAATTAGAAACTTTATCACTTGAAAACCTGGCTACAAAATTAACTGATGCTTGTTTTAACTTAGTGAGTTTTACTTTTATTTCTGACTTTCTAAATGACAGTGATTTTAATCTGCAAAACTGCGTCACTGTCCTACACTCGGGACAGATTTTGAACCGAAAGATTAAAAGTGATGCAAGTTGGAAAAGTTTCAAGATGACGTCAGGGTCTCCTACACGTTTTGCTCACGTTGAACAAAGTCCTTTCTTTTTGCAGCAGTTGTAATGTTCTCAATTCCCTCTCTAAGATTCCTGTCTTGTCTTCCTTCTCTACCAGCTTTCCTTTTCAATGTCTCTCTTTTTGGACAGAGAATTAAGCAATGCAGATGTTGAAGGGGGAAAAAAACAGATTTTTTGTTTTTGTATTGGCCCAGATACTCAAGGTCTCATTACATCAGCTTCCACTGTAAAGGTGGTCTGTCAGGGACATATGTGGATACTTACTGACATTATTAGCATGGAAAAGTGTGGAAATGTTTGGATTTGTGCTAATAGGACTCGGGAGCAACAGTTGCAACAGAGTTCACTGCTCACGACTAAATTTGGCACCAGTTGGGAACCACAGCATACCATGTACACACACACACACACACACCATACACCCCCACAACAGGACGTTACACACAAATACACAAGTGTGTGTGTGGATGAACGGGTTGGGGGTGAGTTGTTGGAGCTGCAGATGGAGAAACTATTTTGGCCACGTTGAAAGATGGCAGCCATACCAGCCTTCACATAACATCTAAAGAGGAGCAGAGGGAAGGTTTTCACCGCTGAAGCAAAGAAAAACAAGCATGTTTTGTCCTTGCAGAGTTGGCGGGTCTTTGTTAAGAAAATAATTATCACGTAATATAATCAAAGACAGGCCATGATATGATTAGGCATGGGGGAGCGTGTAAACTCCTGTAAACTTTATACTACTGCACTTGAGATTTATACAAACATTTAAAATGAGAAATGCAGGACATGATAGATTTGATTTTATTTAAAATGGACAATCAAGAAATCATTTCTACTGCTGCTACAAAATTTACACATCAACACCAAAACAAAGACTTTGCAAAGATCCTGGTCTAATGCTGAGGACACCCTCATGAAGAAAAAGTCAATATGCTATGCATCAAAACCTAGATTACCATCTAAAAACCCAGACAAGGGGCAAAAGCTATTATTTTTGAAAACATAAAATAGGATCTGATTAAATCAATAATGAAGTGTTTTATAACAATAAAAAACATTACATTAAAAAAAGGGAGAATCTTTCAAGTTTGAGGACGCTATTTCAACTGTGAAGTGAGAGTGGCAGCATTATGCTGTGGGCTTGTTTTGGTGCAGTTTCAAAACTATACTATCACGAGGAGCAATATATGGAAAAACTGGACCAACATTGTTATAACAATAACGATCTTTCAAATGCATAGCAACACTAAGGGGACTTCAACTCAGCTACAAAGTGAATAAAGTTCAGTGTTAGAGTAGCCAAAGAAAAGTCCTGACCCTAATATTTGTGTATATATATATATATATATATATAATGTGTGTGTGTGTGTGTGTGTGAATAGGCAGACTGTAATTTTCCAACAGTGTTAGGTCTATAAGAAGTGACGCTCTTATAGTTTTCTGAATATGACTATTGAGAAGTGTTTCCTGACAGCTTTTTGTCCAGTACTGTAAGCAAGGGAAAGGTCAGATACCTTTATTTCATCCACTGCAAAGCAATAGTTAGAGGAGGGGCAGCTGTTACTTTGCCCTCCCTGAAATGCAGGAAAACTGTCATTTTCTCTGCTACATCTTTGAGTTTCATAGTAGATGCCTTATGAAGAAAAGTTTGAGCAGATGGGAAACTGCATCCTTTGTTTCTAAACATCCCCTCCAGCCTGACTATAATAAAACCCTGTAAACAGACACACAATGTACATCAGTATCTCCTGTCTGCAGCAGACTAGCTAAGGATTTCATCAATATTTGATCACTCCCCTGAGATTTCCTTGTCATCACCATCAATGTCTGGCCTCATTAATACTTTAGAAGAACTTGAGCTGAATAGGAAGCTTAGAAAAATGTAATGTTTAGAAACCCTCTTCCGACATGATAGCAGTCCAAGACAAAACTTTGAGAGTAAATTTTCTACCATATTGGATGCAAAAGAAAAAAATAACATAAGTTATCCGACACAAAACAAATCTAATGTATACCTGCTGCAATGATTGGTCTGATTCATGAATAAATCATGGCCCACATGGCTTTTAATTGTAGTTATATCAATATATTTAAAGTCTGCTTTTCAGTTATTTAAAATCGATATATTTGTTCTTCATTATTCACATAAGAATTTTGAGTCACTTAGCACACAAATTGACTTTCATGTGCTACATTTGTTATTATCTAACAACCAATAACAACATTATGGATGATTTTTTTTATTTTATTAACATTTTAATTCATACATCCATTGCTTATACTCAATTATCCTGGCAGCATCATGGGTCAATACCTACTAACAATATTCTTAGACAGCTCACAAGACTTAAAGGTGTAGTGAAGGATTTTCCTGAATTTTTTAAAAGACACGCCCTCTCCACTTAAAAAAAAATCTGCATACACAACCCTGTACCCGCTCCCGAGAGGGAACGTACAGTAAATTAAACATGTGCAAGAGCATGCAGGAGCCCATTTCTTCTCATTTTACTAGCAATGATGTGAAATGGATTTCTCCGAATAGCATGCCAAGCTTTACCTGTTGAGTAGAAATTTTGCAACCGAGGCACCAGTGGGAAGCCCGACCTGTGTTTTCAGTGTGCTCCATCACGTGAAAGAATCTCCCAAAAACACTCGGGTCTTGTTCCTCTCTTCTGAAGCCTTTCTCTTCTTCTCATAAACTTCATAAACACTTTTTTCTCCTATGACCATCTGCTATCTTCAAAGAACTGTGGTGAGAAAGGCGAGCTTCAAGGACTGGGTGAAACCTTAGCTCATCACACATATATACATGAACGTGTGCAGAAACATATCACCCGAATGATTGACAATTTTGAGGACCACTTATTTTGATGATCCAAATGGAAAAAGAACATCCTCCACTATACCTTTAAGAATCTTTAATTAAAATTAGTGCATGGTTAGCTGACTTTGAATACAGGAGAAGCAACATTTGCATATTCCAGCCTGTTGCATGATGGACCCAGGTAAAAGAAGCTTTGCTGTGTTCTGCTCGGCCCTCCTGCTATTTGCTGAACATCTTTCTCTTTTGTTCTCTCTCACAGCTGCAGACGTAGCTGACACAAATTCTCAAAACAGATAAAACTGAGTTCTTTTCCCTCAGCTGCTCACTAAAGAGTGATGTTTTTTGTTTTTTCCTTCAGTGTGCTAGTCCATGGTGCATAAAGTAATCGAAGAAAGGTTGTTTTTGAGTTTTTGACTCCAACAATTTCTCAAATTTTATTTGCAAATATAGACTAAAGGCTTGTTAATTGCTGCGGCAATTTTATTGGGTGGTTAGCTGATAATTACATTACACATTACAATAAAATCAAATTTTATTTTTTTATTTTTCAAGCACAAAAATCAAAATTAGTGTTATCCGAAATGAAAGAACAAATTCATGTGTCTGTTAAAGATTAAAGACATAGCTGCTATTTGAATGAGTTTCTTTGCATGCTAATTGTTCAGATTAGGAAACAGTATTTATGTCATCTTGTTAAATTCAGACCTGCAATTAGTTTGTTATTACCGTGTAATTTTGGAAGCAATATGGCGAGCAGTCTGGTCACAGTTGGCCAAAAAAGCCTTAAGCACATCCGCATATAGGTGCACATTTACCAATAACCTTGCATGTGGTTTCAGCAACAGCCAATGAGTGGTGAGCAACTCCTCACTCTAATTAACTATTACTGTAACCATATAGCCTTCCGGACACGGGCGGTATGACAGCATACATACAAACGTCTGTGTGTTTGCATGCACCCATTCCCTTGCTCCTCTGTCTATATGACCTCAGCACTCTGGACTCTCAGTTTGCCTCCTAAAACACACACAGCAGGCAAAGATCACAATTTATCTAAGTCCAAGTCCAAAAGAAAGCAAGAGGGATATAATCCACATCATCTATGAGGTTTGGCACACACTTGCCACAAAGTTGTAGTTACATTTTTTTTGCAGTGAATTTCTTTAAAATCCTAATCTCTTTGCACTTAAAAGAGTTTTTTTTTTTTTTTTTTTTTTTTTATCTATGTTGATGCCCCAGGACTCAAAAAGACTACTGGTGTTTGGACTTTTTTTCACAAACACCACCAAGCTACATATGATTGTTATTGACATATAAGTGAGTAATAGATCTCTGAAGTTTTTTTTTTGGAAAACTGGGAAATCTCTGTATACATTTAATCAAGTTTAATGCTGTGTGGTAAGTGGGGCCGGAAGATGGAGAGTTGCTGCAGCTAGACCACAACAAACACTGAGATCTGTGATTGCAGCTTGCAGTCAGGTCAGGGTAATGACCTTCAGTGAGTAAAGAGGGGGGGTTGGACTGCTTAGAGGCATCTGATGCATCTATTTGTGCTGTATATTCATACGACAACGGAAATTATTTAGATTATATCTGACATTCAAAAACTCCTTTTT